GTGGGTGCAAAAATCCTCAACAAGATACTAGCCAACAATACATTAAAATAATTAGTCACCATGACCAAGTGGGATTTATACCTGGGATGCAGGGCTGGATCAATATCCACAAAACAATCGATGTGAGACATCACATCAATAAAAGAAAGGACAAGAACCACATGATCCTCTCAATAGATGCAGAGAAAGCATTTGACAAAATACAGCATCCTTTCTTGATAAAAACCCTCAAGAAAGTAGGGATAGAAGGATCATACCTCAAGATCATAAAAGCCATATATGAAAGACCCACTGCTAAATCATCTTCAATGGGGAAAAACTGAGAGCTTTCCCCCTAAGGTCGGGAGCACCACAGGGATGTCCACTTTCACCACTGTTATCCAACATAGTATTGGAAGTCCTAGCGTCAGCAACCAAAGGAATAAAAGCATCCAAATCAGCAAGGTCAAACTTACACTCTTTGCAGATGACAGGAAATTCTATAGGGAAAACCCAAAAGATTCCACCAAAAAACTGCTAGAACTGATCCATTAATTCAGCAAAGTTGCAGGATATAAAACCAATGCAGAGAAATCAGTTGCATTTCTATACACCAATTATGAAGCAACAAAAAGAGAAGTCAAGGAAGCTATCCCATTTACAATTGCAGCCAAACCCATAAAATATCTAGGAATAAACTTAACCAAAGAGTTGAAAAATCTATTCACAGAAAACTATAGAAAGCTTATGAAAGAAATTAAAGAAGACAAACAAAAAAATGGAGAAATATTCCATGCTCACGGATTGGAAGAACAAATATTGTTAAAATGTCAATACTACCCAAAGCAATCTACATATTCAATGCTATCCCAATCACAACAACACCAGCATTCTTCACAGAGTTGGAACAATCCTAAAATTTGTATGGAACCAGAAAAGACCCCGAATAGTCAAAGCAATCCTGAAAAAGAAAACCAAAGCTGGAGGCATCAGAATCCTGGACTTCAAGATGCACTACAAAGCTGTAATCATCAAGACAGTATGGTTCTGGCACAAAAAAAAACAGACTCTTAGATCAATGGGACACAATAGAGAACTCAGAAGTGGAGCCACAAACGTATGGCCAACTAATCTTTGACAAAGCAGGAAAGAATATCCAAATGAATAAAGACAGTCTCTTCAGCAAATTGTGCTGGGAAAACTGGACAGTGACATGCAGAAAAGTGAACCTGGACCACTTTCTTATAGCATACACAGGAAATAAACTCAAAATGGATGAAAGATCTAAATGTAAGATAGGAAGCCAGCAAAATCCTAGAGGCAGGCAAACACCCCTTTGTCCTTGGCCGCAGCAACTTCTTACTCAACATGTCTCTGGAGGCAAGGGAAACAAAAGCAAAAATGAACTATTGGGGCCTCATCAAGATAAAAACCTTCTGCACAGTAAAGGAAACAATCAGCAAAACTTGAAGGCAACCAACAGAATGGGAGAAGATATTTGTAAATGACATATCAGATAAAGGGTTAGTATCCAAAATCTATAAAGAACTTATCAAACTCAACACCCAAAAACCAAATAATCCAGTGAAGAAATGGGAAAAGACATGAACAGATACTTTTCCAAAGAAGACATCCATATGGCTAACAGATACATGAAAAAAATGCTCAACATCACTCATCATCTGGGAAATACAAATTAAAACCACAATGAGGGGCTTCGGGTGGCCTGAAGCATAAGTGTCTGACTTCAGCTCAGGCCATGATTTCATGCTTTGTGGGTTTGAGGCTCCTGTGGTCGGGCTTCAGGAAGCCAGAGCCTGGAGCCCGCTTTTTAGATTCTGTGTCTCCCTCTCTCTCTGCCCCTCCCCAGCTCATGCCTGGCCCTCAAAATAATAAACATTAAAAAAAAAAACACAATGAGATACCACCACACCAGTCAGAATGGCTAAAATTAACAACCTGGCAAATAACAGATATTGGCAAGGATGTGGGAGAAAGAGGATCCCTTTTGCACTGCAGATGGAAATGCAAACTGGTGCAGCTACTCTGGAAAACAGTATGGAGGTTCCTCAAAGAGTTAGAAATAAAACTACCCTACAACCCAGAACTGCACTCACTAGGTATTTGTTCAAGGGACGGTGCGATCAAAGGCAGATGCACTTTATCGTTTATAGCAGTGCTATCGATAATAGCCAAAGCATGAAAGAGCCCAAATGTCCATCGATGGATGAACGGATAAAGATGTGGGGGGTGTGAAGAGCATATATATATATATATACATATATATATATATATATGCAATGGAGTGACAATCAAAAGAATGAAATCTTGCCATTTGCAATTATGTGGATGGAACTGGAGGGTATTATGCTAGGCGAAACTGGTCAGTCCGAGAAAGACAAATATAATACGACTTCGTTCATATGTGGAATTTAAGATACAAAACAGGTGAACATAAGAGAAGGGAAGCAAAAATAATATAAAACAGGGAGGGAGATAAAATGAGCAAGAGGACTTTAAATTACAGAGAACAAACCTCAGCGGTTTGGAGGGCTGCGGAGTGAGGGATGGGCTAAATGGGTAAGGGGCATTAAGGAAGACACTTGTCGGGATGAGCACTGGGTGTTATACATAGGGGATGAGTCACTGGAACCTATTCCTGAAATCATTATTGCACTATACGCTAACTAACTTGGATGTAAATTTAAAAATAAATTTAAAGGTGACAGAAGACACAGATAGTTTCAAGGCCATGTCTGCTGAAACTTCAGGGAATGTTATATAAATTGTTCCAGAATATTGCAAAAGAAAGGATATTAAAACAGATGGTCAAAGCAAACTTTAGTTTTATCTAAAATGTTCTAATCTTTATAAAGGAGAATGCACTCAGGTATTATGTGTGTAGTTTTAAAATAGTTAAAACCCCAAACAAAGAGAGTTGAAGTGACTGACAAGGTGACCCACCTGGGAAAAAAGCCTCGGCGTATATCCACCTACCTGTTCCAGCATACAGTGCAGTATCAGGGGCACAGAAATGAATTCTTCTGGAATTGGATTCAGCAAGTCATTGTAATATCTCATGTCTACTTCATTTGTGAAGACGAAAGCTTCTGTAAAATATACAATATGTCATTGCTCGCTTAAGATGTGTTCTCCATTTCTTCCATCAAAATTTGATCCATAAATTCAAACTATGACCATGCACTAATAAATGCAGGATGTGTAGGTGGAGGGATGTCTGAAGGCAATATGGAGGCTAGTCAGTATTCCTTAAAGCCTCAGCTCACAATGTTGGTTTTCAGGTTTCATACATGCCTGATGGTGGGGCTTGGGGTTCCTCATACTGTGCTTTCTTCTTGCCAGGGGTTGGAGCAACAGGTTGTGGAGCCTAAAAGAAGTATTCAAAAGAAATGACTGAGGTATCCAGCTGAGAGATTCTTTCGTCAAATGCTGGCGTGATGGGGTCTGACGGGATTCTGAGATTGTATAATTACGTTCACACCACAAAACCATTGGCTAATATTAGGATCAAATGAAAGGGTTTTGTCTGAGGGAGGGAAGAAGTTAATGGTTAATGGACATTTTTCACTTTTCCCTAACAGAGCCCAATGAGCAATTGCCAGGAAAGGGATGGGGAGACAGGGCACTGGTCCCTGGGTGACTCAGAATCATGCCACCCTCCCTTTTAAACTCCGTCAGTGGTCCCCCATAACCTTCAGGGTACAACCCAAACTCTCTAACTCAGCACCAGAGGGCATCCTCCTCCTGTCTCTTTAGTAGGAGTTCGTGTTGTTCTCCATTTTGCACATACTACCCGGGAGCACCTACCAGGTAGTATGGTGGTCCTGGCTTGTGACCTACCCTGTGGTCCTGGCTTGTGAGCTAATACTTCTTTCCTTTGGCCCTATATGTGTGTACATCTTTGCCCCTTTCTTGAGAATACCTTTCCGTCCCTTCCCCCATCAGGCTTTCCTGTAGACAGTTCATACGCAGCCTTCACCCACATCACTTACCCTGCTGGGTGAGGCTTTCCCGACTCCTCCCTCTCCCCTTGCTGCTCCTCTCAAGATCAGATTGGGTGCCATGTTTTAGTGTTTCTACCGCAGCCCGAGCTGTTCTCACAGCACTCATCATGCTCTGTTGAAACCACTGTTAACGTGACTGCCATCCTCCTTAAAAGTCAACCTCAATGAGGAGGACAGGGGATGAGTCTTGGTCATTATTTTAGGTGCTAAATAAACAATGTGATTAACTTATCAATATCCCTCTTTGTTTCAGGTGTTAATTATTGTGCCAGGGGCTAAAAGTGAGTGCAGGTAGTTAGGGAGCTTCATAAAGTCCTGACCACATAGGTGTCCTTTAGACTGTGTTTGGGGAGCTCTCCTTGTTCCCACTCTTACCTCTTAAATCCCAGAAGGCCGTATTTCCTTCCTACAAGTATTTATGCAATTTTTCCTTCATACGTTTTACAAATGTGACAATTAAGTTGTTCAGTTCATCATTCAGCCCGCTGAAGACATTCCAGGATGTGCCTACCTCAGTAACTGACATGGCTTCCAAGAGCGATTTCTCACTAACCACTTGTGGAATATTTATAAGCTGCATGCTTTCCAAATAGTGTTGGTGTTGCCTCTTCCAATCCAGGGTGTCATACATCAAACAGGCAACATTTTCAAAAATTTCAGTACCCAATTCCAGCTACAGGTGAGAGAATTAATAATAGTTAATTATTAGCTTTATGTTGTTGAAATCGATGTATCGTTTGTTTCTCTCTTAACAACTAAACCAAGCACATCCCCAAACCACTGAATACCAGCCATGGTGAGTGAGTCTTTATTTGTTGAACCCTTCTTGTCCGTCTTGTTCACCATAATGTGGAATGTTCCCTTTGGAGGGCCTTATGTCTAATACTGTAAGAATCTAATTAATGCTTCAACTAAGTGAAAAACACCCTGTTCATCAGTTTCTGTGACATGGCCCATTCTCTGATGTCTCAGTTTCTAAAACACCATATTGGATAGGTAACTTCAATATCTGTTCTGTGCTACCTTCAGGGGAAAAAAACCCCTAAGAAATAGATAGTCCACAGTTTCTGTATATAATACCCATAAGTTTTGTTATTTAGAAAACAAGCAAGTAGTAGATCAGATACCCCTATTACCTGGGCTTTCATTTCCAGAACTGGAAAAGCACTGTTATCACTAGGTGTGCCTACCTGAAAACAAAGAAGAATTAAGTGGGCTCATCTTAGCTCTGAGTTACAGAGGTAAGGTAGAATGAGATAACTCCTTGGGGGGGGGGGGGGGGCTAGTGAATCACAGTCTGGCGGGAGTCCAGAGAAGTGCTGAGTTCTCCCCATCTTCAAGGCAGAGTTGCCAGTCTGGGATTCACATGCCTACTGTATGACTGAACATTCTTCAGTTAAGCTTCAACATGCTACTCTTTGCCTAAATTCTGGCACGGAAACACAGTTTTTGCTTGTGTTTATAAGAAATATGGTAAGACTTCTGCCTGATGATCCCTTACCTTAACTAGCTAATTCATTTTTAAATAAAACAGCAAATCGCATGCTAAAAGCCAGAAAATTATGTCAGCAACCCAGGTCTTAACTTGAGATGTTGCAGATGTCTTACGTGAGCAGTTAGCACTTCTTGATGGGCATTTATTTGATGTAAAGCTTTCGTTACCTTGGTTCAGCAGAAATACAGCCGACTTGTTTGCAGACAAAGGTACTAATGCTTTCCTTCTTCCAGAGAGGAAGAAGACTCGTTGGCTGGCTTCTGCTTTGGATATGAGGCCATTACCAACTTACACATATAGCTGAGTGTGTGACATCATGTGTCCATACCATGTATTTAGTCTATTTCTATGAGAAGTAGATTTATTACTCTTGGGTTTCTCAGGTGATCCAAACTTTAATGTGAACATTGTTCTTCGATATGAAACCTTTCTTGTTGAACCCAAGTCCATTACCAACCCGTTTTCAAGGCTCTCTTTCTCTATCATCCTCAATACTGGGTCATTCAGCCCATACAAATGGTACCTTATAAAGGCATGTTTGGACTCTAAAAAAACTACTGCAATTGGACCCAGACCACAGCTCTGGCATGAAGAAGATATTCAATAAATACTTGCAAACTGATTGATAGGAGATCAGTGTGTCCAGCTGGGCACCCTAGCCATAAGTGGCTCCCTAGACAACCGAATATTTTCATTCCTGACTGTTCCTTTCAAGGCCTGACTAGACATCCTCGGTGTTAACGTTCTAGTTCTGAGGTCAGGAATGTTCTAGTATTTCAACTGAGATGATACTATTTTTTTTAACATAAAAATTTCTGAACCTTAATTGCCATTTAAATTCTCCTACTCTATGTTTTAAAGAAGTAAAATAGTCTGTTCATTTTCTTTAAAAATGGAGGGATTAAAATCTTCTAATGAACAGAAAATTGTGGACACTGGAGGAGGAAGCAGGGTTCTGGGTCTTTTGAAGCTGTGATTAGGTGCCTTGGTGTTTACAACTATGTGCTGAAGATCAATGGAATGTACTCTACCTTGGGTTCAGTACATTTCAGCTCTTCTCAGTCTATGCCTGGAGGGTGAAGAAATCACAAAGAAGAAAGCCCTAACTAGAGCAAGAGTGAAAGACATGTGGTCTGAGGCTGCCTTGGAAGATGCTTCTTACTGCCTCCTCTGAATTATGGCTCAGGAATTATATCTCCAACACCCGATTGAACCAAAAATGTATGCAAGTTCTTGAGAGGTTATGCAGCCAGGATGTGGCCCAGATGACAGGAAGATTATTTCTCCAACATAAATTTGTAGATGTGGGTTTTTGTTAGGCATAGATTTTATGTTCTTAGGAGAAGAAAGGGTCTATTGGAGAGAGAGAGTAGGAAGCTGGCTTTGAGGTGGGGTTTCATGGATATCTAGAGACATAGCTTCTTCCCCAAACATATCTCATACTTGTTGGGTATAATCCAGAATTCCCATAAAATAGGAGGGAATGATCGTAGTATTACATTACTTGGAATGCCAACATCTCCAGGGTAGAGAAGCATATTGACCAAATTTGGCATGAAACAGTACAGGACAGAGGGCAGTGGATTCTTTTCTGAACTCAGGTTTAGGAGGCAGAAAAGTGAAAGACAAAACAGGAAAGATGGAAATGTCTAGATGAAGGGGTGGAAAGAGGCCACGCCAAGGGAGTTCGTAGCAACCAGTTTTGCTTAGAACAACTCTGCCTTCAGCCACAGATTCTCTCTAAGGTCAGCTTCATCTCCATATATAGGTCAAGGCTAATATTTATTCTTACAATTGGCAAAGTCTCAGACTTCTGTGTTCTGTTTCTACAATTATGACATTTCCTGCTTTATGTTGACAGTCTTAATCACTCAAGCTGATCTACGCATTGTTACTTATTCCAATCTTGTCCACCCTTCAAAGTGCAGATGTGGGCCTCCCTCCTCAGTGTTTTTTCTTACCATGTGCACATCCATGTCAAGACACTACAGTCAGGGACTCTGACAGTGAGAGATGTTTATGCTCCAACCCATGACCATGGGCAGCCTATCCTTTGACTCGGAAACTGTTCCAGGCTTCAATATTACTCTCCTTTTATACAGTTTTCTTTTTGTTAGCTATCCATACTCACTGTGCACAGACACCCACGGACCCCCTGTATCCTGCTCCCTTTAGAGCACTCACCTGGTGTGATCACTCCCCAGGACTCTGCTTTCCCTAAGAATTCAGCTCCCTTGATGCTGAAATATATCACCCTGCAGGGAATTCAGCACTTCTGGGCCCCTGTTTGTGGGAACAGGGGGTCGGCCAGAAAGAGACTGGAGAAGTTTTCTGTGATAGGGATGCTTGGATATCTTCCACAACATCCGTGAGAAGTAGTCACTCAACCTTCTTTTTTGTAAAAAAACCCCTCGTGTATCTAGCCTTTGCTATTACTTTTTGATACACCCCATTTCTTCTTTTTCTAAATTAATCAGAAACTTAGAGTATATTTCACCTAGCTGAGCACTTGAACACTGCTTCTCTGTTTCATGGTTTTGGTCATGCCTCTGCAAGATCCTCAGTAGCAGGGGCCAGTAAATGCTCTCGGAAAATACTTGTTAATTGTTGGGGTGGGTCCAAGTTATCCCATTAGGATAGACCCTGTTGGCCAAATATATTGAAAATTCACTTTTGGCGATAAAATTAAGGGCCTAGAAGAGCAATGTTTGGAACTGACATATGAAAAAAAAGAAAGATAATGTAATTTGAAAAAAACTGTAAAATTTACCATTTTCACAATTAACACACCATATATTGAGACTCTACTGCCAAGAACAGTGTTAAAAGTACGAGACAAAGCCACATGCCACCAAATAAAAGAATTACCTTCCTTCATCTCTGTCTCCATCTTATTCTTTGCCATTAATCCATATACTAAAAGCTAAAGACCCAGGCTATAACCATCACTGGGCATTCAGTGGAGTCTATCCCAAAGCCATGTGCATAGTCAATTCACAGTGAATGTCAGTGGAATGAGTGGATGTGATGAATGGAACCACACTACCACATGGCCGAACCATTCACTCTCACTAATGCGTGTACTAACCATCATCTCGCTGTCTGCCCAGTCAGAAGGAAAGTCATCTGCCTTGACCACATACTCCAGTCGAGCAACATCAAAGAGATTTGTTTCAGGTTTCTCATTATTCAGGATTGGTTCCAGGTATTTCCAGAAAATGTCAAGTTCTTTTATGGCATTCTCTTTCTTCAGGTTTTCAGCCTTTATGTCTAATCATAGCAACATGTTAACACAACAAGATGAGAATGTTGAATTTTTTCCCACTTTAAGTGGACATGGTGGGTGACATGCATTGAAAGGTGTCTGTGCAGTATCAGAAAAGGCAAATAAACAAACATAATTTTGAGAAGCTTTTGGACTTGGATTATAGAGTTATGAAATCAGAGGATTTCACTTCTGAAATTGATATTAAACCCGAGCTCATCCCACCCCTTCATTTGACACTTGAGGCCCAGAAACCTTATGGTAAGGTCACACATTCGTGGAGCTAAATATGCTCGAGATATCCATCACCCTTAGAGCTCATCTGTGTAGGAGCAGTTTTTCTGCCAAATCACTGTTTGACCATCTTAGTGTGTTTGTTTCATAATGGGTTAGAAAAGCTGGTGATCCAATTCTTCCTCCCACATGGCTAAAAATAGACCATGTCAATGATTGATGCTTCAGGTAACTTTTGGTCACATTCAAATAGCTAGAGCCTTCTCTGAGCATTTGTGCTCTGACTGTAAAATAATGACCGATTCCCATAAAGTTACACACGAAATTTTGCCTATAATATTTATGTTTATTACACCTATAACTAAATGGGTTCTACTACTAAGATATTATTCTACTATAAAGTCTATTTTTCTGTGATTCTATTTCTATAATTTTTTTTTTTGTAGAGAGGCTACAGACTTATGGGACATTTTCTCACTGGCTTCAATAATAAGTTATTTAATGTTACAACTATGCTTTCAGACAGGAGTATCTGGGTTTGAATCTCACCTCTTTTCCTTAATAGCTGCCTCAAGGCTGAGAGTCCTTTTGGTAAAATGGAAATACAGATCCTACTTGACATATGATGAGGATGGGGTTGTATCCCAATAAACACATCATACATTGAAAATTTGAAAGTGCATATAATACACATCATAGCTTAGCTTGGCCTACCTTAAACATGCTCAGAACACTTACATTAGCCCTACAGTTGGGCAACATCATCTAACACAAAGCCTATTTTGTAATAGAGTGTTGCAAATCTCACGTAATTTATCGAATACTGTACTGAAAGTGAGAAACAGAATGGCTGTGTGGGACAGAATGATCGTCAGCGTATTGGTAGTTTTCCCTCGTGATTACGTGGATGACCGGGAGCTGCCACCATCCAGAATCACAAAAGAGGATCATACAGCATGTTGTTAGCCCAGGAAAAAAAATCAAAATTCCAACTTCAAGGTAAGGTTTCTTCTGAATGCAAATCTCTTTCACACCATCGTAAAGTTGAAAATTTGTTAAGTCCAACCATTGTGAGTTGGGGACCGGCCGTAATAAAACACACTTCTGAGGGTGGTTGTAGCAACTATAGAAATCGATGCACTTAAAGCCCTTAGCACTGAGCCCCGTCCCGAGGCATCTGCCCAATAAATGGTGACTCTTATTATCATCAGTGGTAGAAATTTCTCATGTGGAACAGCAGAATTTCAAAACATAGTGTTCTAGAAATTGGGATGTGGTTATACAACATATATAATATAATCTGTAATCCCTATACAGATTACAAAATGCTGTGCAAATGGTATTATTAGTAAATGACAATAAAAGCAACAGAAGGTGGCAGAAACTCTTGGACTTTCAGGTCACGCAGGCTTACACAGAATCCCTGTTCTATCGCTAAAGGGTCCAGTGACTTTCAGTTCCCTTCCTACAGCACCATTCTGGCACGACTCCCTTGGATGAAGATCCCGTGACTCCAAATGTGTGAATGGCAGTGTGGTAGGGCCTTCACTCTATAGCTTCATAGTCTAAGGCTTGGAAGATAGAGTGCCCTCTCTGATTTATCACAATAAGCCAGAAGCAAAACACACCAAGAATCCAAAGCTATGACCTCCCGTGGGCCATGTCGTGCCTGTGGCTTCTGGAAGAACCCATTAGCTACAGTCGATCTTTTCTAGCCCACACTTCAGGTGAAAGTTCTAGATGAACTGTCCCTGAGACAGGTAGTCAGATAACCAAGTCTTCCGACCCACAGTCCGTGTTCTCTGTGGCTACACAGGGATATAAAGAGAATACAATCTTAATTTGTAAAATTTACAGCACCTGACTAGGGCAAGCAGCATAAACAGCAAATCAGAGCCTTAAAAGGGTTTAACAATGAATGTATTATTGCATGACTATTTTTTTGGACAGAAAAATCTATTTGTACTTTACAGACAGTGGGTGATACTGAAAGATTCAGCGGGTTGTGTAGCAGACTGCATACCTTCTGGCTGAAGAAGAACTTCCTGCTGCTGGCTAACTGTTGCCAGGTGTGTCTGCAGAGGCTCATAATTCTCTGAAGATATTTTAATCACGCTGCTTATGGGAATGCCAAGCTCAGTCATAATCGCTAATAGCTGAGGATTGTTGAAGCCCACGACTATAATGTAATGTTGGGCACCATCATCTGGCTCATCGTCTGTTCAAAATACCATAAAAAAGAGCAGCCGTCATTTTAAAAGAGAACAGGTTGCACTCAGCCAGTTCAATGGCTACATACATTATGCATGCGTTTATAATACCTCCGGCTTGCCAAAAACAGTCCAGTTGGCCGGAATGCAGTCATGTTGACTGGTTTTCATTATTGCCCTTCCAGTGAAAAGGCTGTGGCCATTTTACAAAATATTAAATCACTTTTGTAAATGAGATAGAGTCATAATAGAAGGACAAACATACGTGGGGCCTGTGGTCATGGAAAATGTGTGCTCGGGTTTTTGTAAAAAGAAAAGGTTTAGGCTGTGGGCTGTAATTTGGGGGGGGGGTTCAACCTCTTTTGAGCAACATCTGGCTTTACTCCTGAATTACGAGTGGCTGCAGCTTTGTGGTATTTTATAAGTAGAGGTGTTTACAGGAGAGGGAAATATCGAATATGGACATGCCCCCTACCAAAGTATTCTGTGTATTTATGTCAATAGGTGTGAATGCTGAGTATGGGTTACGTAGCAATTATATACTTATTGCACTAAATTTTTAAAATATATGTTGTGCACCTTCCTAAATGTCCCCCCTCTGCTTAGCCCTCATTACACTGTTTTTATTAATGTTAAAATATGAGTTTATCCTTGACTGTGAGATTCTGAGGGGTAAAAATAATTGTTGTACTTTAATATTCATGCTAGATGGTATGTGAAAACATTAAATCCCACAATAGCCCGTGAAGATACATTTACAAATAATGCAGCATGCACAAACTTTTCATTTTTAAGCAATAATTTTTCTCCTATCACTAAACGAATCAGTGTTGATATTATCTACCGAATCCATAATATCATAGCTTCTAGGTCTAGTGGATTTAGAGCAGAGATACGCCAGGAGAGGCAAATTGATAAAGGATGTAAAGGCCTGCCACCTCGTTTGAATGCAATGCAAATAATAACAGGAAGCTCCATCTGGGTTCAAGTGATGGTGGCAATGAATTACTCATAGGCTGCACGGGTCAAACCAGCTTTATATCAATAATCAAAAATGAAAGGAAATTCTAGTTGCCCTAAGAGAAACTAATAGCAGGAGAAGCTGAGGTCAGGTCAGGAAACTGTGTGCTCTGTATGAGTCCCAAATTCACTGGTCTGATTTTATCGCCACCGTATTTCACTCATTACAACACTTTCTAGTTTGTTAGCCCAGTCACTTTCTAGTTTGTCTCATAATTATGTCTGACTTTTTAAAATGCCCCCAACAAGGTAGGAAGCTATTTGGTGGTAGCACACTCAGCTCGTGGCTTCCTATTCGCATTATGACAATGTTGCCCACAGCAACAAGACCTGAGCTAAATAAATATTTGCTGAAAACACAAATGAACTGCTACAGAGCAATATTTTTCGATTAGGGTATCATGGGTAGTATGTGATTTGTGGTTTCATAAAGAGTGAAAGATTAAGCATCGTTATTGGAATGCTTTCTCAAGCTAATTTGTAGATTGGAAGGCAGGAAGGGAAAGGTAGCCCACAGGAGGGCATGTCACCGACCAATGTAAGGTTTAGCGTCATCGTCTTCCCCTCTCCGTTTTAGCTGTGTGGTCTTCTTCACGGCTGTGTTCGCCTCAGGAGGATCCTTTCCCTTCCCTTTGGCAACCTTGGCACTTGAGGACTTCTTCTCCTTGGGAGATTTTGCTTTCTCTTTATCCTTTTCTATCTTGAAACAATCTTCTATTACCTGGAAAAAGAGAATACTTTTTCTCCAAATCATATAGTGTGCAAGCAATGGCTTTTCTATGGTTGGGTTTATTTCATTCAATTGTTTGTTTACTCATTTACTTTTCATGTATTCATTCTTCAAGCAGGATAGTGGCCATCCCAGGTTGGGCCTAGGTTGGGATAAGGCACATATCCTATGAGGACTGAGGGGTGGGTGCCAGGAGACTGTTTACACAAATGGTCTTCTAGAAGAGAATTCATCCTAAGGGAGAGTCAAGCATGGGCATATAAACTACCACAGTTGTCGGGGGTAAGGCGAGTGGGGGATTCAGAGTACCTCATGATGGCAGTATCTTAGGCTTATCTTGCAGCCTAACCCTGGGGAGTCTCTGTCTGAGTCTTAGAGAGAGGTTGTTTGCTCATTAAAAATAAAACAAAACACGGGGTGCCTAGCGTCTCAGTCGGTTAAGCATCCGGCTTCGGCTCAGGTCATGATCTCGCTGTCCGTGGGTTTGCGCCCCAAGTCGGGCTCCGTGCTGACAGTTCAGAGCTGGGAGCCTGCTTCGGATTCTGTGTCTCCCTCTCTCTCTGCCCCTCCCCTGTTTGCGTTCTGTCTCTCTCTGTCTCTCTTATGACTCTCTCTGGGTCATAAGGTGGCCATACGGAAGATCCAGAATATAAACTGGTGCATAAAATATGGCGGGGCTTCTATTGCTTCTTTTTCCCATAATCAACACAACTGGAAACAAAAGAAGATGATTGTAGCAGCATCTGGGCTCTGTATTTTCCTGAGGTTACGAAATCAAATTTGAAAAACTCCATTCTAAAACATTAGAGACAGGAGATATGTTGTTTCGGCGTCCGGCTAACAGAATGTAACACAGAAGGGGAGAGAAGCATTTCTCTACTCCATGTGTCTTCTGGATGTCGAGGGCTCCAGAGAACAGTGTAGCTTTGGCACCCAGAAGAAGCGTCAGAGGTACCTATGGATTCTCCATGCAGGCCTGGGTCCTATAGCTCTACTGGTAGGGAAACTCCCCCTCCTCAGCAGCAGAGGGAAGCATCAGGAAAGGCTGTAGATGTCACTACTAGCCTTGGGTGGAGGCAGACAGGAGTGCACAAGGTAAGGTGCAGAGGTCTGAAAAGCCCCAGCATTTCATTCTGCACCAGATATAAACTGGTGCATAAAATATGGCGGGGCTTGTCCCCTTGAGCTCCTAGTCTACTGGGGTAGAAAGAGGAAAAAAGCACATACAAAAATAGGTAAAAATATAACAACAAAGTTCCATGACTTTTATGAAGGATAAAACCCAATGTAGTCATAGGCACGCAGTTGGGGAAACCTTTAAGTGGGTGACAGAGGACCTTTCTGAGGAGGTGACATTTGAATGAAGACCTGAAAGATGAGGAGTCTTCCACATGAGAAGCAAGAAAAGGGCAAAGTGGATGCCACAGGTGGGGTTGACAAGTTCGTATTTTATTAAAAATGCAATGGGAAGACCACAGAGAGTTTCAAGTAGAGAAGTACTACGATTCGTCAAGATAGGGAACAGGAAGTCTAGGAAGGGAGTCTCTAGCGATGGTCTAGAAAAGACCTAATAGGGACTTAGATGATAGAGAAGTTGGAGCAAGAAATGGCTTTTACTGGAGGTAAGCAAACTTTTCAGAAAATCACGTTAACTTTGAGATGCCCGGAAATGTCAGGAGGCAGGCAAATACACACATTCTCCTCTGAGAAGAGAGATATGGCTGGAGTCACATGTTTGGATGTGGGTCACATATACATAGTGATGAACTGAATGGAAGACACGAAATGCCCTGGGTGAGAGTTCTTGAGATGTTAGTGGGTAAGTGAGCGGCAGGAGAGTATGAGGTCCAGGTGTGTATGTATCTATGCCAACTCAGGAGATGTGTTTGCAATCTGATGGAACGACCCAGCAGAGAGGGAGACACTGCAGATATGGGGGAGGCTAAAGTCCTCGAGGAGGTAAGGTGGGAAAAGATCAAAAGAACATGCCAACTTCCTTTCATAGGAAGAGAGGCAATTTCTCAGTTTAATAAGAGCAAGAAGGGGGTTGGCTGAGTGTGGGTTCAAGAGAGTGAGAGATCTCGATGGTGCTGAGGGAATGCTTCCGTTTTTTCAGGTGAAGGGTGAGGCACGGTTACTGGCCGAGCACAGGGAGGTACGAGGGAAGAGGTTTTGAACAGAGACCGTAACGTGAGTCGTGTCAGAAACTGGGAGGTCAGGCTGACTGAAGAAATATGGTAGAAATCCCTGCCAGTGTTGAGAGCTTATTGGAAATTTTAAGATTGTTAATTTAAAATGAAACCAGAGCACAAATCAGTGCCCCTGAGTCCAATTAGCTCAGAGGCATTGGCGAGGCTCATGCTGGAGCTCAAACAGCCACACTTGGATGATGGTAAATCCACTGAAGTGAAACACTCCCGTGCAGCTCCTTGGTGGACAGTGAGCTTGCCCCAGAAAAGTCCTAACTTTGCCATCACAATCTTCCAGAAACTTCCACAACTGCAATTTTAAATAAAATCTCAGGGTGAGCTTTAGAACTGAAAAGAAGAAACTGTTTCAGGTGACATTATTCTAAAGTTCACCCAGAAGACTAAACATTTATATAGTCATGCATCCATTCATTTATCCTGTCATTCCAAACAAATACTGCTGAATACAGAGGAAGTTTAAAACTAGTTTCTTTATCCTTTTCCTGTTAGGAGGGCCCTCTAGCCCTGCTGGCTTTCCTAGGGGTGTTTGGGAGCCTGTGTAATCACATAGTTCCCATCCCAACTCTTTGGCAAGGTTGGAGTTCTATAAGGTAAAGAACTCCCTGAGCCCTTTCTTCTGTAAGGTTTCTTGGCACCCCAGAGAAGGCAGGACTGATCACAACCAAAATTTAAAATAAGCAATAAAGTAGAGAGACCTAGCTGTGTGCTATGATAGGTGCTTTCCAGACATCATCATCTTTAATTGGTTCTCAAAATGCAGCCTGCAAGATGAGTAATTTTGTTCATGTTGTATAAATTAAGACACACGGTTTGCCCTCAGACACTGCTATGGAAGAGACACAAGCCAGTTTAACCTCAAACCCTAAATTCATTTTATTTCTGTGGTCCTGTTAGGCCATAGAGATGGTCTGTCTTTCTACTCTGTCTTTCCAGGGGCTAAATAATACTATTTCCTGGATGCTCTTTTGATTCTCCATAGCTCTCCCTCCCCCACCCATTCTTCCTGTTGAGTGCTGAAATTATCAATATTTACCTCCTTCCTTTTACAAAAGAATCTAAAAAATACCTATAAATCCTGATTCATTTCTTGAAAAAGCTTTTTTTAACTATAAAAATCATCATTATTGAAACATTTGAAAGAATATAGCGATCTAACAAAAATCACCAGAGAAGATGAGTGAAGGAGATATTTAACGCATTCTTTCAAATTGGGTTTATGCGCCGCTATAACATCGTTGTTATTGTTCTCTCTATACAACTCAGTCTTCTGCATTTTCCTTTATCAGTGATGCATCTTCAATTGGTAGAATTTCAAGAAGAATTACTACATAAAGAATTTCCCAAGTAGAGCAACTATGTATGTACTTTCCTGGTGCAGAGACATCATACGGCAGAGGACAAAGCCAATGGAAGTACCCAGGTTATTCTGGCTTCCAGATCCAGGCAGAGAAATCCTTGGTGGATTTCTGAACATGGTGCCCTACCCAGTCCCTTCTGCTTCCCCATGTCTGACTCTAGCTGTCGTCTACCTACTTTATCCTATATTCCCTCTGTTCCTCACGCCTCCAACCCTCCATACTTGAAGTGAACCAGGACAGTCTCTTTGTCCCTGAGATTCTTGACAATGTTGACTGCTTGGGCCGCAGAATTCTACTTTGGTCAAAAAGCAAAATATCCTTTTCTACCAAGCCCCCATCATAGCAAAATCACCTCCTGTCTTCTTCCCTTTTCTTCTATTCTCTCATATCCTGAGTAAGCTCCTCCCTCTATGAGTTTATGCCTTGAGATCCGGGGCTAGGGGGTGGCAGGAAGTGAACCAGATTAGCTGAGCATTCACCAGAGTTGACCCCTTCCTAAATCACAAACTGAAATTTGTTCACACCAACTTTTCTTGCTCGCTTCTGGGTAGTGCAGCTTGCATATTCCCAGTCTATGGTCATCTGCACAAAACGTAACTCAAGAGGGAATCCTTGCCAACTCAAGACGAAAACTAGGAGGGGGCGTATCCAAAAGTCCCCTCTTTGCACCATGTTTGGGGAAAACATGTTCCCCAGCATATGAAGGAAAGGTCAAGTTCGTTACAGAGTCCATTTTCTTTAAAATGCAGTGTGTACAAAAAGCATCTGGATGCCTCCTACTGTGAGAAGGCTGTGGATAGGCACAGAGATTTCTTAACTGGCTAAGCTACATAGCAGATGTGAGGCTCTTGTTTTAGCAACAACCAAAGAACTATTAGCATTTCGCATATTTAGTTGAGTATCAAGTGGCACTTACCCCGTGTCCTCAATCTTGTTATTCTCACTTTTTAAGAGGGAAAAACACAAAACTGTCCCTCTCTCTAACAGGGCAACCTAATTATTTGATGCTTCCAAATATTTTAGATTGTATTTAACTTTCTAAATGACTCTTGATGTCAAGATTCAAATGCCTTCAAATACCGTGACAGGTATTTGTTATGTTATCACAATAAAAGGGAACCAAGTGGTAAAAGTCAGTGGAACTGCTGGTAAATAGCTCTACTTCATCTCATTTTTATAGGTAACAGCACATCTAGATTTGTGTGGTACTTTATGATCTCACATATGCTCTATCGTCAGATTCCCACAATACTATTGTTAGGGATATAGATAAGAAAACATGCTCATGGCAGTTAAGTGACTAAGTCACTCTTATTAAGTGGCTTATGAGAAACTAGGCCTGTCTTCTGAATGCTACTTTAGTTCTCTTTCAAGAGATCACCGTCTCACAAGCGATCTATTTTATTGGTTACAGATGATAAGA